CAGAGCTATTCACCATCAAACGTGACATCCTGTTATGTTTACATAGAAGTTTGCTATGAGACGATAAAGGTCGCGGAATAACAGACGCAAGTCTAAAGCTAGGCTTGACGAACAGCATAATAAAAAAAATATTCAAATGGTGGACAGTTTCTGTCTTTATTTTCTCCCGAAACTAAAACCACGATACGAAGATAAGAATGGCACGTGATCAAACATAATAGACAATTCGTTTTCTTTTATATTTAACAATATATATATATATATATATATATATTTAAGACATATATATATGTGTGTGAAAAGTGTATATATATATATATATATATATTAAGAAATGGACAAAGTCCGACAATTTATTTATTAAAGACATTTTTATGTTTAACGTTCTTTTTTATAGATACAAGTATTTAAGTAAATGCCTTACTAAAATGCCTTACCAATCGACCACAAAGGAGCGTTCGGTATATAAGCAGTAAATTCGACCTTGCCTACCGAACGCTCCTTTGTGGCCGATTGGTAAGGCACGTCAGCGTAAATGACGGTCCCGTATAGAATGCAGGTTCGAATCCTGTCAAAGGACGAATATTTTCTATGAAAGTTTCTCAGACATTCAGGCCGGTAAATGTTATTTAATACTGTCTATTATGAACAGAGCATTTACTTAAATACTTGTATCTATAAAAAAACGAACGTTAAACATAAAAATGTCTTTTTAATAAATAAATATATAAAAGATTCTTTTATTTTTTAACGAGATAGATAAGTTTTTAGTAAATGCTCTGTTTATAATAAACAGTATTAAATAACATTTACAGAGCATTTACTAAAATACTTGTATCTATAAAAAAGAATGTTAAACATAAAAATGTCTTTAATAAATTGTCGGAATTTGTCCATTTCTTAATACATATATATATATATATATATATATATATATATATATATATATATATATTATTATTATTATTATTATTATTATTTATATATTATATGCGCGGTACTTATTAGAAAGCGCTCAATATCAGAGATAGAGCTAACATATTTGGTTGGATTGATATGAGTTTGTGACCCTGCGTTTCACGCTTTTGCGATCGTCAGACAAACTGATTAATTTTTTAAAATTTTGGATTTATGCAGGTTGCGTATATTGGTGTTATGTAAGTGGGAGAGAAATTGTCGTTGTGATGTCACTTATGCTACCGCACACATACATGCACGCCCGTACACCCGTTGAGGTACGCAGCCACATACAGACCCGCCCTCGCCCACCGGGCCTCACACAAACAAGCATGTATGTTTACATTAGCATGAGTGACATCACGACGACGATTCCCCCGACTTCCATAATAACACCAATACACGCAACCTTTGATTACTTATAGTCATGGTGTGTTATTTTGGTAAGGAAAAGTCTAGGGTAGCCGTCGATCGTCTAATGTAACAGGTGCGGGAAATGAACTGGCGCAAAGTACAACATAGTGTGGCCTCGGGGTTGCCCACTGGAGGGAGTTGCACGGACACCAATCCATGCACGACATGGTACTGCAAGAACCTCGATATTTGCGACTGTTGATCAGAGCAGTCTCTCAAGACGCTACGCAAGTGTTTGGGCTCCTAACTACCAGTCAGAAAGAGCAATCAGAAAACCCAGTACCCTCACTACGTCACATATCACAAAAAATCATGACATCACCATTATTGAGGCCTAGGAAAACGAAAAGAACTGGGAAGCCTTTTTCCTAAATAGGGAACAAAAGATGAGCCTCCATTCCTGTTCAAGAGAAGAGGGAGGAGTACAGGCCGGGTGAGAGGAAAACCCAGCCTATCTACTCCTATTAAAAAATATTACTAAGTTGAAAATTAGTTAATGCCGAGATGTCCTTTAGAAATTCAACAACGAATTAAAACCGACAGCAAACTACATTAGAAAGAAGAAGAAAAAAAACAGTCCTTTGTTTGTCTTCCAATTATTTCAAAAAAATCTACATTCAGATATCTTACTTGGAGTGTCGATCTGCGGCCCACAGAATTTTTGACCATGCAATGTTTAACAGACACTCTAATAGATAGATAGATAGATAGATAAATAGATAGATAGATAGATAGATAGAAAAGAAATGACTGGGATAGATAGATAGATAGATAGATAGATGATAGATAGATAGATAGATATGAACAACCTTAGATAGATAGATAGATAGATAGATAGAAAAGAAAAGACTGGGATAGATAGATAGATAGATAGATAGATAGATAGATAGATAGATAGATAGATAGATATGAACAACCTTAGATAAGATAGATAGATAGATAGATAGATAGATAGATAGATAGATAGATAGATAGATAGATAGATAGATAGATAGATGGGATAGATAGATAGATAGATAGATAGATAGATAGATAGATAGATAGATAGATAGAAAAAAAAGACTGGGATAGATAGATAGATAGATAGATAGATAGATAGATAGATAGATAGATAGATATGAACAACCTTAGATAGATAGATAGATAGATAGATAGATAGATAGATAGATAGATAGATAGGTAGGTAGGTAGGTAGGTAGGTATAATAGATAGATAGATAGATAGATAGATAGATAGATAGATAGATAGATAGATAGATAGATAGATAGATATGATAGACCTTAGATAGATAGATAGATAGATAGATAAGGTAGGTAGGTAGGTAGGTAATAAATAGATAGATAGGTAGGATAGATAGTAGATATGGACAAGATAGATAGATGGATAGATAGATAGATAGATAGATAGATAGATAGATATCAGGAAAATGAAGTGAATCGGCGAATAAAGTCGGTGTTTGCTTTTCGCCTTGAACAAATTCAAGATGGCGTCTTGTTTTCTTCGTCGATCCCATTTGTAAACGGAACCACTTTTCACATCATTCCTCATTTGATGAATAGATGAACTTTCAAAATATGATACAACGATCGAGTTACGCCGAGACGACGCTTAAAATAATACGGGTATTATCAGCTATTGGATTTCACACCACCCAACCGCCGTGGGGCGGTTAGAATGGAAAGATCCGGGTTCTTTTACACTAGGGAAGGTCGACGAGGATGAAGTGAAGTAAGAGAAGGTAAAGAAATGTCGGTCGTTTTAATGAATTACCGCGAAGATAACGCAAAATAGATGAAGAGGGTGATGATGATGCTGATGATGATGATGATGAGGAGGAGGAGGAGGAGGAGGACGACGACGACGACGACGACGATGATGATGGTGATGATGTTGTTCGAAGATTTTGTTTCAAAAGAAAACTTAGATGAAAAATGAAGGAAAGGAAATGGAAGATATTAATACTGATATCGAAGAAGATAAAGATGATTATGATGATGATGGTTATGACGATGATGATGATGAAAAAGATGATGATGATGATGATGATGATGAGGAGGAGGAGGAGGAGGAGGAGGAAGATGATGAAGAAAAAGAAGAAGAAGAAAAAGATGATGATGATGAAGGAGGGGGGACAATCGTGATCGACGGCGACGAGAAGAAAAGAAGTGACAAGCGAAAGGTATCAGCTAAAAATAAGAGCAAAGAAAGAAGAAGAAACGATGAAAAAAAGAAGCGAGAAAGAATAAGTAAAGAAGGAAGGGGGAAGAAGAAGAAAAGGAGTGCAGAAGAAGAAGAAGGAGGAGGAGGAGGAGAAGACGAAGAAGAAGAAGAAGAAGAAGAAGAAGAAGAAGGCATTGATCGAATGACTGGCTAGTTGAATAGGATAGGATGATATCTGAAGAATATAACAATGAAGAAAAGAAGCGGAAAAGAATATGTAAAGGAGAAGGGGGAAGAAGAAGAAGAAGAAGAAGGAGACGGAAAGAAAAACAGAAGAGGAAAAACAGATGGAACGACGAGACGACGACGACGGTGAAGAAGAAGGAGGAGGAGGAGGAGGAAAAGAAGAAGAGGGAGAAGTAGGAGGAGCAGAAGAAGAAGAAGAAGAAGAAGAAGAAGACGGAAAGAAGAACAGAAGAGGAAAAACAGATGGAACGACGACGACGGTGACGAAGAAGAAAAAGAAAGAAAGAAAGAAAGAAAGAAAGAAAGACAGAAAGAAAGAAAGAAAGAATAATAAGAAGAAGGGCAACAGAAGAAAACTAAAATGGTAAAAATAAAAGTAGAAGGAAATAAGAAGAAAGACACCGACAGAAATGAAAAATAGAAAAGAAAGATAAAAAGAAAGAAGATGACAATGATGGTTTATTCAAAGGAAAAATAAGGGTTGTGAAAAAGAACAAAAACAATGAGAGAGTTTATATTAGTTGAATGAGAGAAAAAAAAGAAAGGCAACAGAAGAGAAAGAAATGAAAACGAGAAAGGAAGAAGAAAAGCAACAGAAGGAAAGTAAAGGGAAGTAAGAAAAAACAGAAAGTAAGAAGAAAGAAAGGCGAAAATATTTGAAAAATAAGTAGAACAGTACGAGAAGGAAAAACATGATCACAAAGAGAGGAATTAGAGAGTGTGAAAATAAAGAAAAACAAGAGTGTTTAATTTAGAAGAAGAAGAAGAAGAAGAAGAAGAAGAAGAAGAAGAAGAAGAAGAAGATGAGAAGGAAGGACACAAGAAGAACAATGCAGGACAAATGCTTCGTCCACTGCAAGGAAAGTTGTCTCCCTGTGCCGCGCCAGGAAATTTTTCTCGCCGTAGTCGATCCTTCAGATCTACAAATCAACCATACGCCCTTGCATGGAGTATTGCTGCCGTATATGGTCTGGAGCCCCTTCTAATTGTCTCAAGGTCCTTGATAGGCTCCAGAGGCGGATATGCAATGTAATTGGCCCTGATCTGGCATCTCGTCTGCAGTCGCTCTCTCACAGACGTGCCGTCGCCTCTCTCTGTCTTTTTTTACAAATACTTTCATGGTAATTGCTCCGGTGAGCTGCATTCGCTGGGTCCCAGGCTTCATGAATTCAAGCGTCCTACAAGGCTGGCATCCCGCTCTCACCCTTTCACTGTCGAAACTGTTAAAAGAAG